CTGGTAAAATTCTGGCAGGACTCTCTTCTTCACTTTGCGTTTTCTTAGAGTCGATGATGAATCGGGTTCGCTTTCAGGAATCTCGACCAGATTGGGCTTTTCTTCTGTCACTCGAGCATGTATGCTCCTTCTTGCGTGACGTGGACTGTGCCTGAATCCCTGGGAAACATGAGCAAATGTCAAGCTGGAAACAGATTATACTTTCAGCAGACAAATTAAAAGCTCTCATCATAATAATAAGAATTGTGATTCCATTTAGGTTTCTTAAGCTATGGAGGCACTGCTGTGGTATATCGCCTATAGATTTCTGAGCCAGACGTGTTTGAGAAAGATTAAGCAACTCCTATCACCACAGGAGCAGGAAAAGCAAACTATTCAATATAACAGTTTGATGTTTTTATCTACTGTTTGCTTCGCATGACCCTTAGTTTTTCTTTAAGTATATTGTTTGACTTAATATTTTTGAAGGTAACAATCAGGGAGACTGTTCTTCAACATTGAGACTCAGCAACTGCCCTACTGTTGTGCCCTTGAACATGATACCGAATCCCTACCAGCTACAGTACTGAGCCAGCAGGGATTCAGTGTCCTGTGGTTCAATAACATAACCTGCAAAGGAAGGAAAGCTATTGAAGCTTTTGCTTTTGGAACTTCAAAACCACAGAGAATCACAAAAGGTTTGCTTTTAGGCATCAAATGTAATCAACAGCAATACAACAGATAGGCCTGTATGGCACTTAATAAATAAAGGGGTTTGCCAAAAGTTTATTGAGCTGTACCGTAACTACTTTTCACAGGTCCTTTTTTATTTTAGTTTGAATTACAGAGAAATTATTTCCAGCCATGCCAGGAAGATCAATTGAACCACAGGAATTATGTCTACTAAGACTGCTTTTGCCATAGTATATAACAGTTTTAATTCGAAGATGGTAATTTGTTAGTGTAAACACTTTAATGCATTTTCACAAGTGTTACATTTTTGTAGTTTTATTTTGAAAGTAAGTGCGTAAAACGGAAACGGAGCGACTGAAGCTCTGTTGACGCATTTGGGCATAAAACTGACACATATGTATCACAAACATTGGGTTTATCTCGGCCCACTTACACCTCAGTTTTAACATATTCGTTTCTAAGAATTTACTGTAGGGAGTCTCAACCCTCCTGAAAGAATGAAACCGCAAAATCACCAGCATTATTTATTGATAACACATGCGCATTGCGCACATCATGGTCCTTAAAATAGTCACGCAGTTCTCTGAAAGTGCAAAGAAACGGGCTTTTGGATGAAGCATTTCTCATAAAGCAGAGGCTACATAAGGCTTCCACACATTTAACTGCCGACGTCTCCTTGCTGTTGGATATGACAGAGGACTCAAACCCATAATTAAAAAAGTTCATCCTACCTCTGATCGAAAATGATGTGTTCGGAGGCCCACTAAAAGAGAGATAACATATGTTAGAATGAAACATGGAGCTAACATTTACCATAAAGTAGCCTATGACATGTCAGATATCAACTAGACATTTTATTACCAATAATTCCAGATATTTTAGGCTAGGCTACAAACTAATCCACAACAGCCTACAACACCCTCTGTCTTCATACGTAATAACGCATATTCGAGTGTGTGTTTGTTTTCTCCTACAGCCCATAGACATGTTACATGTGGACTTTGCTGCTTGCTAGAATAGATAAAACAGACAGTGAGCACATCCAGAACACGTAAGAGATGAGTTATCGGGATGAGGAGATGCGGCTGGCCTGCGCTACTCACCGCGGCTCCTGGTGCGTCCGGACAGCACTGATTTTATAGGATGTTTTCCATTACGAAGCCTGCGATGCCAGCAGCAGAAAAACAAAATTGTCGCTATAGTCCCGAGCAAGAGCAGCAACAACAGCAGCACACATTGAATACTGTACGGCCTCAACAGCACCAAAAACGCCGCAGCAATCATCATAAAGCGAGATGTAGGACAGATCCCGCAGCCTCAGACAGCTGGCTCCTCTCCTGATGATAAATATGTCGCTGGAAGCTCAAGAGGAGAATAAAGACACTGACACGTGAAGCATCGCACAGCAAATCGCGTGAAGCGTACAGGTTCAAAGTGGTCAGCCCGGACTATTGATATCATTATTGTGAGGTACAGTGACTCATGACTCAGCAGAGACGCAAGTTTTATTTATTTATTTATTTTTCTAACAGGGGCAGGGAGAGTCAGCAGATTCAGCTGAGCATCGCAGTTGTCTGCTGCAGAGTCGGCTGCCCTAAAGGATAATGCTATCATGTTAATAACAATAGTATTAGGACTAATACACACCCGTGTGTGTCTGTGAAGTTCAATAGACCAGTGAGTCAGTTTATAGGGAACATATTTAGCTTTTTTACCCTACCTACAATGTCACTTTATTATTGGTAACACAACATTAACGTCTGTCTGACATAGTTTGTTTTAAGTATATTTTGCCGTGTAGACTTAGTGAAATATACCCTGTTGTACTGACAGGCACTGCAACGAGGCAGTTGCTATTAACAGACACTTTCAGGATTAGGGAGAAAAATAGGAACCAACGCTAATCATAATCCAACATTGGTTATGTAATGTTTTGGATGGACTGATATCATTTACAGCGTATTTTCTTCAGTCAGATAAAATAATCTTTCAAACTAAATGCATGGGGACAAAAACAAGTTTTATTTTCAATTTTAAAAGAGCCATTCTGCACCCAAACAAAAAATCCCAGTCAATGACATAGTATGTGTCCACATGTCCACAAAATAAACCAATATACCATTGCATATGACAAGATATACAATTGTTATATACAGCATAAAACATATAAATAATCAAAATGTTTGTATTCTTTTACACCATATGTTGACTAATGTAACATTATTAATTATTAATGTAGGCTATGTCATTCCCATAAAAATCATTTGCATACAAGCAGTAATCACATGTGAATGATTCTGTATGTCAGCATATGTGTACTTAATGGATATGTGGTATATATTATTTATGTATGACAGCATAGAGTATCATGTTCAGGTTGTGTCATGTATGTTAATGTATATATACACAGTATATGCCAATACAATGAGATGCACCTTTACAACATAAACATTATGTTGCAGCCGGCCCGGACTCTGCCTCCCCCTCCACCCTGAAGCATTGTGCTGATCAGCTGTCTCCGGTGTTTACAGACATCTTCAACACCTCCCTGGAGACATGCCACGTACCAGCCTGCTTCAAGGCCTCCACCATCATCCCTGTCCCCAAAAAAACAAGGATAACGGCACTCAATGACTACAGGCCCGTCGCCCTGACCTCTGTGGTCATGAAGTCTTTTGAGCGCCTTGTCCTGTCCCACCTAAAAACCCTCACCGACCCACTCCTGGACCCCCTGCAATTCGCCTACAGAGCCAACAGGTCTGTAGATGACGCAGTCAACTTGGCCCTTCACTTCATCCTCCAGCATCTGGACTCCCCAGGAACCTATGCCAGGATCCTGTTTGTGGACTTCAGCTCTGCTTTCAACACCATCATCCTGTCTCTGCTGCATAGCAAACTCTCCCAGCTGCACGTGCCCGACTTCACCTGCAAGTGGATCACAGACTTCCTGTCTGACAGGAAGCAGCACGTGAAGCTGGGAAAGCACGTCTCAGCCTCCAGGACCATCAGCACCGGTTCCCCCCAAGGCTGCGTTCTTTCCTCTCTGCTCTTCTCCCTGTACACCAACAGCTGCACCTCCAGTCACCAGTCCGTCAAGCTCCTGAAGTTTGCGGATGACACCACCCTCATTGGACTCATCTCTGGTGGGGACTCGACGCTGTGGAGTCCTTCCGCTTCCTGGGCTCCATCATAACCCAGGACCTCAAGTGGGAGCTGAACATCAGCTCCATCACAAAGAAGGCCCAGCAGAGGATGTACTTCCTGAGGCAGCTGAAGAAATTCAACCTGCCAAAGACAATGATGGTGCATTTCTACACAGCCATCATTGAGTCCATCCTCTGCTCCTCCATCACGGTCTGGTACGCTGCAGCTACAGCCAAGGACAAGGGCAGACTGCAGCGCATCATTCGCTCTGCTGAGAGGGTGATTGGCTGCAATCTGCCGTCCCTCCAGGACCTGTTCGATTCAAGGACCCTGAAGCGAGCAAGAAAGATTGTAGCCGACCCCTCTCACCCTGCACATGATCTGCTTGTGCCCCTTCCATCTGGCAGGAGGCTGCGGTCCATCAGAACCAAGACCTCACGCCACACAAACAGTTTCTACCCGTCCGCAGTCGGGCTCATTAACAAAGCCCGGGACCCCCACTGACTCTGTCATCCCCAGGACGTTTCCTTCTGGTTTCTCCGCTGCACATCCCTGTTTCTTTATTTAAACACACTCGACACTTTCAACATTTCACTTACACTTCACTTGTTTTACAGTCCTGTTATCTGTCTTGTTGTGCACTTTATTTTATATTTTACTGTAAATGTAATATGTTTCTATTTCTTGTACTGTTGATTGTTGATAGTTTAATGTTTATTGTTAAATGTTACGCACCACCCGCCACGATAAATTCCTTGTAGGTGCAGACTTCCTTGGCAATAAACGGTTCTGATTCTGATTCTGATTATGTCCACACAATCACAATGCAGTTATGTATAAACATTATAAAAACCATTCGTCACATAATCATTACTCCACCATAGAAGTTACAGTTACTGTAATAATAACGTCATTCTGAACTAAAATATGAACACAGTCGCAACAGCTACACACTTCGGCCCGGACTAGGTAAGAACAGACGGGCGGAGTTTGCTCTCGCATTTGCTCCGTAGTAACAACCAGTAACCCCGTCCGTACGGAACACTCCGCGAAGAAAAGGAGCGCTTCAGTATCACGTGACGTTTCAGACCAGACTAGTTGGCTGCGTTGAATTGATTTGGGATGTTGTAGCTAGCTACCAGTCTGTCAACTGAGGAGCCGACAGAATAAGCAGTAGGTAATGTCATGCTCAGCTTCATTCATTTGAGTTCAACCATGTGATTAAAGCGTGTTTAACGTTGCTTTGCATTAGTTAAGCGTGGTTAACATGTTGCAACCGCTAACGTCAGAGAGCTAACGTTAGCTCACAGAGAGCCTGGACGCTTGGCAACGTCTTGGAAGCAACCATTTCAAGATTTCGCTGCTAATAAATGTGCCGAACAGAAGATGGTTGGTGATAAAAAAAAAACAACACACGAGAATGCAGGTGAACTTCACATGGTTGATTAGTGCGTGTTCAGTTGCAGAACCTTGATTTACGTCGATAGAGCGCATTGGAAACTCCACTGTGGCGCCTAATTTCTTCCTCTCGGCAGTTTGAGTGCTGTTTAGCAGTTCATGGCTCAGTGCTGCCTAGGCTTTTGGTGGCCGTGAGCGGTATTGCAACAACACTGTGATTTTTAGTGCATAGTCCGCTGAAGTTGAGCTCCCCCCCCATCAGTGGCAGCACCAAAGAGAAGCACTCTCTGGTGGGCAACAGAGGAAGAAGTTACGCCCCATGTTAGACTTGACGTTTAATCAAACACTGTCCTGCATTACGCCGGAGTAAGTCACATGTTTGTTACTTTATGCAAGCTTCACGTTGACGCGTAGTCTCCTGAACGGTTGCTGTGTATAATAACTGCCATCTGGTGTAGTTTACAACAATTTAATATTCGATGTTTCAGCAAACAATAATAGCAACGTCTGCCGGATATGAGTACTGTACTCGGGTAACGTTAGTCAGCCGATCCGGTGATGCTGTTTACTGAAAGTGTGGTCAAGTGTCATGCAACTATTACTGTAACTAAACGCATTTTCGTTTTGTTTATGTTTAATTAAATCATACTGTGACAAGTGTATTAAAAAAACGGTTACGGATTTATGTTCTAATTTTGACTGATCTCAGCAGGTTGCAGTATTACTGTTACTGACACTTGAGTGGCTTTGGTTAACTAGTAACTAATACACATCCCTCCTCTATACAGTCAAAGGGATCAAAGTTAGGGCTGCAGCTTCTAAAGTCACACTTGTTCTTTATTTCCTCAGATAAATGTCTTCTCCAGCTCAAGCAGACGACGATGAGGTGGAAGAAGTGGAGTTTGTATCAGTAAGTCCCGCGTGCACGTTATCTATTAAACAAAGCGATAGGTTGAAAGGCCGAGATGACGGTTGCATTTGTTTACTTTCTGTCTTTTGACATTGAGGCGACTAATTGTGCAATAACCTCTTGATCTAGCCTGATAATCAGACTTATCTTATCTTAATTTGTATATTTATCATATTTGATTCGCTGAACAGTATAAGCTGCTGCTCCATGTATTGTATGACCAGCCATGATTCAGGCATAGAGCACCTCTGCTTTCATGGGCATGTTAACGTGAATAAACAACCCTTTTGACGTTGTACAGGGGTTTGTAGACGTCTTTGAATCTTCTAAATGTAGGTGTGTTTTATAATACTAAATGACACGGTGTCTTGTACTTGCTTCAGGAGGGCCCTGTCAGACCAGTACTAGAATGCATTGATCTGCTGAGTGATAATGAGGATGAGGGATGTTCCTCTGTGGCAGGCACGGTAAGTGGCTGAATGGAACACCTTTTCTCTACATAGTGTCTGTCGAGAGTGAAATTGAAATTGCTCTGCCTTTTTATTCTGCTGTAGATTGAAGATGAAATCACCCGCCATAAAGCGCACGTTACATCTACACTGGACAGGCTGGCACACCAGGTGGCCTTAGAGAAAAAGGAAAGATCAGATAAATGTAGAGCGTTCAAGGTAAGTGTGCTTCAATATAATGTGCTCTCATTTGATGCTTGCTAGACTGTAATCAAGCTGTTACATTTATGGAGGTCTGTCAAGCTTTGTTTATACCTGCGCTTGAAGCTCCGAGTATGTACGGATGCGTTCATACTCTGTGACCTGCATTATTCTCTGAAACGCCAGAGGGCGTACAAACAAAATGTACTGTGAAGAATCAAAGAGACAAAGAGTTTAACTCCTATATATGCCCATAGACTGTAGGGCCAATCCAAATCTCCACACTCAGACTTTGAGTCGGGCTCCCGTAAAATCCTTGAGGGTTTAGTTCTGTCCCGCTGTCAAATCATCGAGTGTTTGAGGGCTCTCTCTCAAACATTTTGAGCCCTTCATGAACACTTTCGGTAAGTCAGCATTAGATGCAGACTTTGCCCAAGGGAATTACCCACAATTCATTGCAATGTGGCGTTAAACATGGGGTAACCAGTGGATGGAACATGAAATCAGAGGAATGGAAGCAGAGATTATATTAAACAGATTTGCTAATCAAACATTTCATTTAGACAAAAACAAGTAAGTAGATTATTTGAAATTACCTCTCATCCTGCGAGGAAAGAGCCTGGAAGACGTTCAAATCAGGGAGTAAATGTATAATATAAATACTCACAATTGTACATAATAATATTTTTTGACGTTGTCATGGTCACATGATATGTTGCAGCAAAGTGTTGTCCCATTTGTATGTACACCATTTCAAGCCCTCACAGCCTCTCACACTCAACCACTTACCAGGTGACGTCAGTAAGTCTCTGAGGGTTCAGGGTTTGAGGCCTTAGGGGGACTATTGTCTTCATCCTGCATTTAAAAGTTAAATTACTTGTGCTCATCACAAGGGCACTTAAAAAATACACAAACAATCTTCAGTGCTAGCAAAACCTCATTGAACACTATATGATGGGTTTAAATGTTACCTAAAATGCTCAGTAGACATTTTTTTTCCTTTGTGTTGGTTTACTGTATCTGGTCAATTAGGGTAAGTTGTAGCAGCAACAGTGCCACCCTGTGGACAGAATGCATAGAAAGCAAATAACAGTGTATTTAATCCATACAACATCTTACTGTATGTGACTTAGAGAGATAACATTAATCAGTGTCTGTAGGTCACTACTGACATCTGTCTATCTGTCCTTTGTAGTCTATAGAAGATGCAGAATGTGTTCTGTTATCTTTCATCTCTTTTGTGTCTCTTTTTCAGGAGAAGCAAATCTTACAAAGAGCTCACGGACAGCAGGAGCTGGCCTTTAGTTCTCCAAATGGAATTAATTGGGAAGCAAAGCACTGTGTGGACATGTGGTTAAAGATGCCAGGTACATTTTAATCTGGATCAGAAAGCTGTTGGATATTCACTGACATTGTCACTTGTAAATCTGTCAATGTTGGAGTTGATTCAAGCTCGTAGAGTCATGTACTGTTGGATGTTTCTACCAGTGTGCTATGCTGTGCTGCTGCAATGATCCACTTTCTTCACAGGGATGAATGAAATGTGATTTTGTCTTAAGAGATTTAGCCATGCCAATGACAGAGCACCTTTTACAGTGGCACTAGATGTTGTGTTAACTGTTCATACTGTGTCTTTGCGTTTTATTTAGGTGTTAAACCGGGAATGATCAGTTCTGGTTTTACAAGAAGAAACGGACCTACTTCTTTCCCCGGAAACAGTTCAACTCGACACACTTGTCCAGTGATCAACTGTGGTCGGGTTTATGACAATGCGTCCCTCCTTGAAGGCCACTTAAAAAGGTAATCTATTTCAGTGTGGGTGTAATACCTTCTGAATAGTGCTTGAAGAGGAAAAAACTTCTGTATTTGTACAGTGAATAAAAGATACTACGTGATATTGGGTTTGGGGGTCCACCCCTATAGAAAGACTTAAAACTCACATCGTTTTGGACCATTACTTATTGTTCTATACTCCCAAAAAGCTTAAAGGCAAAACTTGCTGTAATTAAATAATTATGGTATAATTTACACATATCACAGCCTTGTTCTGAACATTTAAATCATCTAGAAATGTTTTCCTCTAAAATCCTATGATGTAAATCAAAAGAGCAGACTCAGAAATAAAGAATTTAACAAAGTTTTGATGAACAGTTCACTTGTTAATCTACTTTACAAAAAGGATGTGAACGTTGTATCGATAAGTTACAACCCCCTCGTTCTCACATGGAACACTATAAATTGCCCAGAGAAGCCGATATGGAGAGGGCAGAGAAGAGTGCCTGTAGCTTGTGAGAAGGCAAAGAGTAAGATGTAGAATTGCCAGTACTACGTACCAGTGAGTGCCGGCCCACTTCGAGCACTGCTTTTGAACCAATTCCCAGAGTACACATAATGTAATAATGCCATAACATATTGTGTGTGTAGGTTCGATCACTCCCCGTGTGACCCAACCATCAATCTTAAAGGGTGTCCATCGGAGCTCTTTGCCTGTGTCGCCTGTTGTGAACATTTTCAGACTGAAGAAGCGTGGAGGAAACATCTCGAGTCTCAGGTTCACACACTTTTCTGAATGTGCTATGAAAAGCTCCTGCTCTTTGAATTATGAATTGATTATTGTCTGAAATACCTATTTGACAGCTGTTGATCTACAGTCGCTTATTCATTATTTTGAGAGAAAAACATGTTTTGATCAACAGGTGTCCTCATCTGCTGCTGATGGTCACAGCAACACACAGACGTATCAGTGGATTGTGTGTTTCGCCTGTCCTGCCTGCTACTTCCTCTTCAACCTGCGGGATGAGTGTCTTCAGCACATGTCAGCCAAAAACCACTTCACAGAGTCACTCGCCATGAATGGTAAGGTTTGTTGAACGTTTTTTAATTTCTATACGTCGGAGGTATTACAGGAGCAAGATCACATGTACCTTTTTACTTTCTCCTCTTGCTAAAGAAACCAGAGGAAGACCACTGCCAGTTCCTGTCTCCCAATATGTTAAGAATCGTCTTATCACTTTGTGCAAGGATGTAACATTCAACGTCCGATGCTCTTTATGTCACAAAGTGCTGCTCTCACATCAGGCAGCTCAAGCCCACTTTAAGTAAGTTTAATTGTGATTAATTCAGTGCATGTGTTAATATCTTTTGATGTTACATGTTGTATAGCAGACACTGATTTTCTTCAGATGTTTTTTGTGGAACTGATTTTTCCTGTTTCCTCATTTTCCTTCTTCTTTTAGTGTGCACTGCAGACAGGGCTGCGCGGTGGCCAAGGCTGATAAAACAGTAGTGCAGGTAATGAAACAGCTGCAAGTGCGAGGGCAGTGCTCCCTCTGCTGTAAAATGTTCCACAGCCAAGCTGAAATCGAGAGGCACAAAGAATCGACCCAGCATGACGTGGAGCTCAACCACACGATGGAGAGAGCCCTCATTCAGCACTGCAGGTTTAGTGAAATTCACCACACCCAGAGGGCTCGAGAGGCCCGGAGGAAAGGACCGTCCACAGGCCTTGAGACACATTTTCAAAAACGAAACAAGGAGAGTGATTGTGGAGAATTTTCAGCCAAACGGAAGAGACCGAGCGTGAAAGGCAGAGTCAGCAGAAACTGGGTAAAAGCCTGGTTCTGCGAGTGTGGTATACAGTTCTCGGAGGAGGCCACAGCCACACAGCATCTCTTGGCTGTGAACCAAATTTTCCATCAGTGCGCCGTGTGCGGCAAATACATGGGAGAGTCCTCGGTCACCCGCCTGCACATGAGTCGCTTTCACGGGGGAGCTCACCTCTCCAACTTCCTCTTCTACTGCCGCAAGTGCAAACTGGAGATGCCTCGGTACGAAGACATCCTGTCGCACGTGACGGAAGCCCACAGCGGACACACCTACATCACCCTAAGGGAGGTCCTCGAGGAGCCGGCCGTGGCCGGCGACGCCAAGCCGTCCACCAGCAGAGGAGTCGGCCCACGTTCGTCCTCCAAGGCCGCGGTCCGGCAGAGCACAGTCGGGACGTCTTTGAAAGCAGAGCAGACCTGGATGTGCAGGATGTGCGAGGACACCTTCGACTCGGAAGCGGACGTCCGCAAACACTGCCGTGACGTGAGCAGCCACAGCTTTCAGAGGTTCATCTGTGGACACTGCCCCCAGAAGTTCTTTAAAGAGTCCACTGTACGCAGACATTGCACGAATGAGCACGGCGGGCAGATACAGAGCTCCCACTTCTGCGGCCTCTGCGACAGCATGCTGTTTGAATCCGAGGACGAGTTTTTGGAGCACTACAAGAGTCTCCACAGTAAAGACTACTACTGCATGGACGATGTCGAGGTCGTTCCGCCGGCCGCTGACGAAAGCACCAGTCGGCTCACATGCCCGTGCATGGGCTCAGGGAAGAGGAAAGGGGAAATGAAAGCTACGTACACGCAATGCATGAGGGATCTGTCCGCGGAAGGGAAATGTCAATATGTGTGCGCTCATTGTGGCGCGACTGCGCCTTCCTTTGCACAGATGAAGACTCACGTCCACACGAAGCACGCTGCCTTGAACCTGGACAAGACCTTTGACGTAGAATGCAAGGCTTGCCGGGAGAGTTTCAGGGGCGTACCGAGTTTCCATGCACACTATCACTCCCGACACTGTACACTGGAGCCTTGCACGAGCTCCAGGACCTGCAGTGTGAAAGCAGAGCTCAATGCTGTGGAGATCTCAACAGACGCCAATGGTAAATCAGTTGCTTTTGTTTTTTTTACATTTATATCTACGTTTAAGCAGCATTTAATCCGGTTTTCATATTGTCATTTCAGAGATGGAGGATGAAACATTGAAGTTTTTGAACAGGGATCAGACCAACAAAGAGAGTGCAGCGTGTGAACGTAAGCAATAAACAATACACAACCACTGAGTCACTCACGCCACACACACAAACAGAGAGCAAGCAAATGCACAGTGTAGCTTTCTTTTACATAATACACAAGAGCTTTATAACACCACGGTACAATATATCAGCTGCTCATTTTTTATGGTCTACTTCAGATGAATCGGATGACGAGATGAACCATGAACCGTCTCTGGGTGCAGAAGAGGAAAGAGAGTCAGCAGGTATGTGTTTACTGTCTGTGGCTGAGCAGGTAATGTTCAAGCTGTGTTAACTCACTGCAGCCTCAGGTTACGACTGTGTACCGACAGTCAGTTCACAGTGATTACATTTCACTGTAGAGAACTTAGTCAGATAAACACTCCTTGTATGTTGGCCTTAGTGGTTGGCAGTATTTGTGCTTTGCAGTGTTTTATTTGGACGTACTGTAACTTGGATCCTTATATTCTGCTTCTCTTTTACAGAGTTGGAAGAAGCTCTTAAAAGAAGTCTTCTGGAGTTTTGAGGATATGATTTGGTTTGTTTTTTTGTGACCCAATGTTTGTCAGACTGAGGTGTTTTGAACCAGGTATTTGTCTTTAAAAAATGTTAAATAAACAGTTGCCATATAAGTTTTTCTGTGTTTTTAATTATTTGTAAATGAATCAATATGATGACATGATAAATTATCAATGCTGGGCATTCCCATCCAAGGGAACCAGCCAGTTTAATACTATAAGGTTGGCCTGTGGCTGTGGATTTACGTCCTCTGCTGTGCAGTCTCAACACTTTGGTGTGTCGACACATGTGCTATAAATGCCAACGATGACACTGCAACATGCCGAAGCTGAACTTGTGACCTCAGTGCATCTCCAATTGCAGTCTCTGTTTTCAGTGCTGACTTAAACTCCAGTGTATTGTATGCACCGTAGGGAGCAGGGCCAACCCCTGTGTGTAAAAGAGTTTGTTTCCTGAAGTGCAGCCATGTAATTCCTGATCTACATGTGATGGGATATTAGCCCATTCCAATAAAATGAAGTGGAAACAGACATTTTAAACTGCAACTGCAATTCTGTCAACAACTCTTTGGCTCTGTTAGTTTCCTCATGTTCTCTTCAAAATCATTAGAAGGCAGATTCCCTTTAAAGGGGATGCACACTACAGATTAGCATTCAGATTTAATTGGGATATACATGTATTTCAAATGCTTGTTTTTCTTCTTTCTTCACATCCTCTTCGTCACTATGTTGCATGATTTGTGATTCTTGCTAGTTTGAATCAGAAAATGGAGACTCCAATATATTAAGACATTTTAAGATAGTGGCCCAGGATCGAAACAGTGAGTGTTTATGCACTTAATGGAACAAGTTCATTGTGACTCCTGGTTGGAGAATGAAGCAGCCCTCTAAAAAAAACAACCTCGAATTCTCATTTAGATGTAAAGACATTAAGCCTACAGCAAGTTGTGCATACATGGCAGATCGATGTGGGTTTATTTAAAGTATACATAAAATACAATCTTTTATCAGTGATGGAAATCAATATTGCATAAATGTTTAATGAGTAGATCAATGTGCTGAGAATATTAAGACCCCCCCCCCCCCCCACACACACACACACACACACACACAGTACACTGCACAGCAGACTAAAGTCCTAGTACCCATTGAGTGGAAAACCTCATACAGATATTTCCTAAATATAGAAATAGCAAAACAGTTCTATTTACACATCAGAAACTGACTGAAATTACAGCTTCATCTAAGTATGTATGGGGACCCGCTAGAGCTTTTTCAGCGACCTGTAGAGGTCCTCGGACCTGAAGTTGGGAGACACTGTCCAGGGCTTCTCGAGAATCTTCTGTTAGGACAGAGGGAAGGAAGTTGCAGCCCATGTTAGGAGATGTTCCCCCTGGACCGCGACTGCAGTCAGCAGTGCACAGTGTCGATCGCACACAAGGATTCCTCTCCGGGACGGATCATTATCATAATAATAATACATCTAAATCATTCACGATCATGGCTCAAGCTAAGATACAGGCGAAAATGAACGAGGCTACGTGCAGCAAGTTCAGCAGGACGCTGTCCATGGCAGATCGCTCCGGACAACTCCTGGAAAGTTTGGATCAGCTGGAAATGAGGTACAGTTAAGTAACAGGCCGTGCCATGTGCGCTAAACACCGCGCACGCGAGGGCTTGAGGCATTATAGTTGGTATGTTGTGTATTTTATGATTAACGCAATATAGAAATGTATTTTCAACCAGAGGGGAAACAAAGCGGACGCAGCCAATCGCGTCGGATTAACATGAAAAAATAAAATGAATGGGTGCAGTATAATTCTGGTAATGTATTACTGTGGATTGTCAGTGATGCTCGTTTGTGTCCCAGAGAAAGGGATCGTTTCAGTGGTCACGCTTTGTAATCGCTCTTTGTCCGTCAGGGTGGAGACTTTACGCGAAACAGCTTCGGCCATGGAGGTGGAGAGGGAGTTCATCCTGGAAATGATTCAGTCCTTACAGAACGGACAGGAACTGCGAAACATCAGTGCTGGTGAGACATCACTGTGTTTTTAACAGAGAAAAGAAACCATCACAGAGTCCTGGTACACCTTGTTTGACTGTTTGTACCCAATAGTGTTTTTAATCCTTTTTACTTTTTGCAGCTGCTCTGATTTCACTGTAACATTGTGATCCAATGAGGTTATGCTTTGTAGTTGGGTGGTGTGGTTCAAGAAACCTCAGGGGATTCCAGGAGGAAACATGATAGTTTTTTCACCACACCCAGGAGAAGAGAGGTCATTAGTTTGTTTTCCTCCCATAAGTGATGTCATATGGTGTAGCCTACACAAAGGGTAATTACATTCAAATTATCATACAGTATTTCCTCATTTCCCATATTAAGTGTATCCACCTTACACCAATACATTAGCCACCATGTGTAGCTATAGTGTACTGTACATAAAGGGTGTTGAGCATTACATGAACACTGTGTAATCTGGCTCTTCTGCCAGAATGACCACCCATTTAACTTTATTATTTTCACCTGCTGAACAAAAAATAAATAATAAAATACTAAAGTCGTGGTTTGTTCCCACAATATAATCTAATTCACCTTTCTGACAGTTTTTAAAAAATTAATTTCTTAACAGGCCCATCCTGTTGGATTAGAATGCATCAAATTTGAGCTGCATTGCATTAGTATAATCACATTCACATGAGGTAGCGTGTTTACACTAATGCATGGTGGACGAGGAGAGGCAAGGGCAAGGATTTAAAACCAGTAGATGCTCTATTATTGTGTCCACCACTTTATAGCCAGTGTATTTCGCTCTCTTTTTTTCTTAAGGGGAGAGAGAAGAGTTGTCTTTAACAGCAAACCGTCTAATGGGCCGGACGCTGTGCGTGGAGATCTCCATCGGCACGATCAGGAACTCCCTGCAGGAGGAGGCGTTGCGCAATGCCACATCTGTAATCGATGAGATAGTGAAGAAGTTGCTGGACGATATGGACGGCGGGCGGCAGCAGCTGCTGGCCGTGCACGCTGCCTGTGTGACCGAGGCCCCGCCCGTCCCCATCGACCAGAAGTTTCAGGCCATCGTGATCGGCTGCGCCCTGGAGGACCAGAAGAAGATCAAGCGCAGGCTGGAGACGTTGCTGAGGAACGTTGACAATGCTAAGAAGAACATCAAGATTATGGATCACCAAAAACTGGAGGACCCAAAAACCAATGGCAGTCAATAAGACTCGTCACCAAAACATGAAATGTGTCATAAAGCCACAAACCTCAACCAGAACTGCCCTCATCATGTACTAACTTTCATAAGATGACACGTAGCACCAAGACCAGTCCCTTTATTAAATGATACTGAACCATAGGGCCAAACAACAGACACCATCATTCTCCATAACTTCTGGGCAGAATCAAGTGTTACCTTCAAATTATTAACACTGACCTACTTTAAATATATTGTTAATGTCTATACCTAGTACACAATGTGTGTTCACATATACACTGAAGTAAGAAGGAAAAGATACGATGGCCTAGTGCTCCATTGGAGGTGTGATCACAGTTTATTGTAAAATCCACTGCTTGAAAAACAATGAATTTAATGTTGAAGTATATCTATGTATTTTTTTTTCTGTTTCGTTGTCTCACCTTTTAAATCAGGCACTTGGTAATGCCTCTGGATGTGCACTGCATACACTACCTCTGTGTGAAGGCAACACTAATCACGCTGTGGATTTTAGTTCCTGTTTGCACAAAGCATGTCAGATTATGTGTCAAAACTTTGATTAAAAAAAAAAAAAAAAAAACTGTCGATGAAGCAGATTACTCAGGTTGGATCTATAGACTGAGCCCTGTTGGCATCACATATGTCTTTAAACAGAGATCACAGCAATCTTTTACTGAATGAAGTTACAGACAAAAGGACGATAGTAACAGTGCTGTAGCCCCATGCTTGTCAGCTTCAAAGATCTTGGTAAGTCTGACAATAAAGTATTGACTCAAGATCTACTTACGAGCTTTTCAACAACATCCATTGGCTTTTAACTCTGAATGAATACAGCGAAGCATTTTGTTT